GCCATGGAGACCGCCGGAGCCCACAGCTTCCATGCTGCCACCACTGCTGGCAAGCTCGTCTCCCTGCCCCAGGTTACCAGGTGAGCAGTGGGGCTGCCTCCGTCGGGGAGCCCAGCTCGGGGCTGGCTGTGAGGCAGATCCCCTATGTCAGTCCCATTTTACAGATGAGGAAACCGAGGCTCTGGTTACTTGCCCAGAGTCACACAGCCAGTGAGTGGTACTGCTGGGACTGAACCCGAGTCTGCATGACTCAGTACCATGAACGTCATGCTTCCTCACATGTAGAGTCCAATGCTAAGCATTTATTGAGTGCCCTGTGACAGGGGTTTTATACACCTCATTAATTTGCCAACCATTTACTGGGCCCCTAATATGTGCAAGCACTGCTGATCCTGGGGCAGAGTGGTGAATAAACACAGCCCCTGCTTCCAAGGCGTTCATATCCCAGCCCCGAACCTTTGACAGATGGTAATTAGGATTAGGTTTGATGCATTATACAGAAGTCACAAATAACAGTGACTTAAACCAGACTGATCCTTACTTCCTCTCTTACATAAAAACAGGTCTAGAGGTCAGTCCAGGGCTCCACGAAGCCAGAGTGCAGGTTCCTTGAGTTTGTTCTCCATCCTCCTTACCATGTAGCCCTATGGCCCAAAATAGCTGCTTAAGTACCGACTATCACACCCACACTCCATCTGGCAGGAGGAGAAAGGGAGGGCAGAAGTGATGCCCCTTCCCTTTAAAGACAGATGCAGTACTTCCACTTAGCTCTCATTGGCCAGAACTTAAGTCACATGGCCACAGCTACTGCAAGGGAGGCTGGGAAATGCCTTCCTACCAGGTGTCCACTTGTGCAGCTAGAACAGATATTGGGTAGACAAGTCCCTACCACAGATAGGGAAGACTGAGTCCAGGATTCTGGATTCCTGAGCCTGGCTCTCAGGAGCCACCATGTTGGGCTCTGATCCTGCACTGTTGGGACTGAGGAAATAATTGTCGGGTGCCTACCGTGAGCCACATGCTGGGCTTAGGGCAAAGGTGATTCAGGCCCCAGGTGCTCCTGGGCGAGCTGGGAATAGAACTGGCGAAGACTCCACGGAAGGGAGGGGGAGTGAACGCACTGATTACGAGTGCAGGGCCCGGAATTACAAGGACCCTGCTTGAGGTGCCGCACCACCACTCCCTAGGCACGTAACTTCAGGCAAGTGACACACACGCTCTCTGCCTTGGTTTCCTCTCCCATAAAGTCGAACCAACGAACAGCAAAAAGAGAATTAAAGAAATAATTAAAAAGAGAATTAAACAATGCTTGCAAAATCCTTGGCACCTAATACTTCCTCAAGAAATTGTCACTATGCCTGTGTCACGGGGGAGGACTGAGTGCTCTCCCTGGAGGACTCCTTGGAGGAGGTGGCCTTAACACTGAGCCCTGAAGGACAGGGCAAGACCCGGGCAGGCAGAGTCCTTTCCAGGAATCGCAAGGGGGCCTCTCTGGTGTTTGTTGCTCAGTTGGTGTTGAGCACAATATGCTCTTTACCCCCAGTGGAGTCTCTGTGCCTTATTCGAAGACCTCACTCTGTCGGGGATTCCCTGGGGCCTTTCAGTGCTTGGCACCTGCCCACAGACCCTACTTCCCTCTTCCCTCTCAAATCCATCTTTCTCTTTCTCTCCCTCCTCATCCCGATCTCTGCCTCCTTCCTGTTTCCCCCATTCCCATCCTCTTTTCCATCCCCCTCTCCCAGTGTGGCCAAGGCCCTGTGCGTGAAGACCGTGGGGGCTCAGGCCCTGAAGCTGTTTCAGGAGCACCCCATCTTCTCTGAAGTCATCTCGGACCAGGAGGCTGTGGCCGCCATTGAGAAGTTTGTGGGTATGTGCCGAGTCCTTTCAAGACCTGACCCGCTGGTTCAGGACTTAACTGGCCGTCCACGTGGTGTCCTAAGAGATCCCATTCACTGCAAATTTTCTTCACAGTCCTATCTCCCATCCCGTCCTAGAATTTCCCATTAATGAAAGGTAATACAATGCAGCGGTGAAAAGAGAAAGGCCAAAGCCACAAGTGAAGAAGTAAGCCTGACAACCATGACAGCAGGGAATAATAACAAAGTATTTGAAATGCGGATTCTGAGCTTCCTAGTAGCCGAGGGGGAAAGGGAAAGTATGGGCCACAGGGTCGGCTTCAGAAATGGGTCTGTAAGTAGGCTGGACTCCTGGGTTCAGCCTAGGACAGGGATGATATGCACGCGTGTGCGTGCGCACGCGCGCACACACACACACACACACACACACACACACACAAGGTAAATTCTAATGCTGCCACTTAATCCCCTGTACTAGCGCTCAGTTTGGGTCATCGAGCATGGCAGTCTTGCTCAGATGATGATTCAAGCCTTCTCAACACAGGGCTCAGGCAGTTACAATCATTTTATCAGTGCGCACACTCATAATGAAACCTAGCCGTGGATCAGGACTTGGGAGGTTAAGCTGGGGTAGTGAGGGTAGGTTTGGCCTGGGACCTGAGTCTGTGGCCAGGGCCGAGAGCCGAGTGGCTCACGGCCCTCAGGCCTTCCCAATGGCCCAACGGTGCCCCTGCACCCGGGCCCCACCCTCATCACCCCTCCTCCGCAGATGACGAGAAGATCCTGGTGGAGCCTGCCTGTGGGGCAGCCCTGGCCGCCGTGTACAGCCACGTGGTTCAGAAGCTGCAAGGAGAGGGCAAGCTCCGGGCCCCGCTGTCCTCCCTTGTGGTCATTGTCTGTGGGGGCAGCAACATAAGTCTGGGCCAGCTGCGGGCCCTCAAGGAACAGCTAGGCATGAAGAACGGGCTGCCCAACTGAGGGCCCTTCCCCGCCCATCTGCCTTCCCTCCCGGGGGCACCCCTGGTGGAGCTGGAGTTTTATCCAGCACCCCGCTGTAAATATTATCCTTGCGTCTGCCTGGGAACCTGCAGCCCGGACCGGTCAGTTCCCTTCTCGGTCCCACGAGCCCACTGTGCCAAGGGGCCGCAGCTCCAAGGGGGAGCCGGGCCAGCAGCCAGCAAGGCCGTGAACTGAACCTCTCGGGCCTCTGTGCAGCTCTGTGACTGTCCCTAGCCACCGTGGCTGGTGACGGCCACCTGTGTGTCCCATACCAGGTCCCCAGCGAGGGTGGGCAGGAGGGACAAGGATCACAGCAGGAAGGGCCTCCTCCCTGGAAGACGCACAGGGCCGTGGTCCAGGACTGAGAACCACCTGTCCTCTCCCCCAGGAAGCCCAGCCTGGCCCTGCCCACCCCCCAGTCATTTTTTCTAATTGCAGCTTTTTCATTGAAAAAGAAAAAAAAATGTATTTATGAAATGAAGATCCTTTGAGTTTCTCCTTCATCACCGTCTGCCTCCCTCCCTCCCTCCCCTCCTCCCACCTGCCTGCTTGTAGCCCTGCACCCCGTCCCCTGGAACCTTGGCACCCCATGGACATGGGGGCCAGGACCCTGCTCCCAGCTGGACTTGCATGCCGGGAGACAGAAAGCAGGAAGGGAGGGAGCTAAGCAAGAGCTGCCTCCAATGGAGGCAGAACCAACCCCCAGCCCAAGAGGCAGAGGAGGCTGGCCTCATTCTGATAGGAAATCCTTCCTGATATCAGAATGACTTGATCTCAGAACCACTGGGAGCAGAGTAGTGAGCCTCCCATCTCTGGGGGTGTGTAAACTGACACTGGACACCCATGTCAGGGACTCAGAAGAAAAAGACTTGAAGTGAATGCCATGCAAACCCTCTCAGACATGAAACCCTGTCTTCCAAGGAGAGCATGTGCTGACGCCAGCATATGGAAACAGAAGACGGCCTGTCAGGGCTCCTCGAGGTCTGGGACGGGACACCACCACACCACCCATAGCAGCCCCAGGCAATTCACTGAATCTCCAAGTTCAGAGTGAAGCTTGAGACCCCTCTAGCCCCTCAGGACATGACGCAGATCCACACGGGCCTGCAGAGCCCCTACCCACCCCGACAAACAGCAGGGGCTGTGAGATTCAGGGAAGAGTGTAAAACCCGCCCCAAACCCACCCTGGACACAGGCTCATCCACTGATTTCCAGCCAGGAGGGACAGACATGTATTTTATAGGGAATGGGACATCAAGGGCAGGCTGGCAAGGACAACAAACCATCAGCCCTTTGGCCCCAGAATTCTTTCTGGGGGATAGAGTGGTGCTCAGTTCAAGAAAACCTGCCCAGAAGATCACTTCCAGCCTCGACTGTCCCACTTGAATCAGCACAAACCCCCCCCAAAAGGCAAGGCAGACCCCTCGGTCCACTATAAGAGCTGAGGCGTGAAGGGCTGGGGTCGACCAGCTGGCGAAGATCAGATGGTGACAGACTCTGTTTTGTGTTGACCTGTATCCCACAGTGGAACTTGGGAAAGTCTTGTTGGTTAATAAGGCCCTGGGATAGTAACCAGAACAAAGTAGGTGCTCAAGAACATCTGGATGGGTGGATGGACAGATGGATGAATGGACGGACAGATGGATATAGATAAATGAATAGATAGATGGGTTGATGGATGGATGACAGATGAATAGATGGGTAGACAGAAAATGGATGGATCTATGGATGGATGGACGGATGGATGGATAGGTGAATGGATGGGTGTTTGGGTGGGTAGAGAGATGGATAAATAGATGGGTGGATAGATGGATGGGTGAATGGATGGGTGGGTGGCTGGCTGGATGGCTGGCTGGATGGGTGGGTGGATGGATGGATGGATGGGTGGATGGATGGATGGATGGGATAGGTGAATGGATGGGTGGTTGGGTGTGTGGGTGGATGGATGGACAGATGAGTAGATGGATGGATGGAAGACTGTGCAAATGGACAATGGGTAGGTGGGTTAGCAGATGAATAAATGACAGATGAGTAGACAGAAGAATGGACAGGAGAATGCATGGGTGGATGGTGCAGAACCCAAACCAAAGAGGAGAAAGGGCACCAGCCCAGCCTTCCCCACTATCCCAAAAAACACAGCACAGGGGCCACGGCCTCTCCTTTAATGGCAGCACAGCCTGCAATTTGGTTCTTACAGCAGGGGAGCTGTGGGCACTGTCCTGAGGCCAGGGGCGGGGGACCAAAGTGGGGGCAGGGGGCATGAGGCTGCAGCAGAGAGGCTGACACTCTTGTCCGCCCCTGAAGGCCCCTCCAGCCACAAGTCACCAGAAACTTTGGTTTATGTTTGTTTTCAAGTTTCTGTCCTCAGGGAAGCTGTCCAGAAGGGGAAACAAGGGGGCTGCTTCCTGAGGGAGCAGAGCGGCTGGGGCTGGGAGACAGAAGGCCCGATGCCAACCAAAGGCAATGCCCAGGTCCCGGGGCCGAAACCCCACAAGTCCCAGAGCCACCAGCAGGAATGACACTGAGAGGCAGGAACTGGAACGGTCCCCTCCTGCTCTACCAGCGGCCCGAAACCCCATCCGAGGACCCCTCCCAAGCCCTCTAGAGGGGGCAGCATGTGAGGACAGGACCCCAGCATAGGAGAAAGAGAGAAGCAGACAGAGTAGAGAGAGAGGAGAGAGAGAGAGATGCAAAGAGGCAGGGGACAGGGGAGGCACTCCCTCACTTAAGGGGAGCGAACGAGTCAGTTCTGGGCCCCATCGGGCCCCGCATCCCACCCAAGAGACGACCCAGACAAGAGTGAACCTGGCAGACCCAGGTCCCTGATCCGGGCACAGCAGGGGACGAAGCCCACGGAGGGGGTGGGCAGGAGGTCAGGGTGGCGGCCGGAGGGTGGCCCCGCTGGGGGTCAGCAGGGCAGAGAAGGAGACTCAGTCCCACCAGACCTCAATGGGCGAGAACTTCCAGAGGTCAGGCTGGCCCATGTGCAGCAGGCCGCTGAAGGGCGAGGAGCTCCACTGGAACGGAGGCAGCTGGTCCCACGTAGGGCCACTGACGGCGATGATGTGAAAGGCCCTGGCCAGTGCCATGCTGGTCACCTGGGGGCCAGGGCAGAGGTCACTGAGCACCAGCTCGGGCTGGGCTTGGAGCTGCCCCAATCCAGAGGGCCCTGACCCCAGCCCTAACTTTGACCCCACCCGCAGCCCCACGCCAACCCTGCCCCCGGCCCCGCCATCTGCCCTGACCCCAGCCTTCATCGCCCTCCCCCCCCCCCCCCCAGCGATGGCAGCGTCCAAGCCCAACCCCTCCCCCCAGGCCCCGGGCAGGGCAGCACCTTTACATCTATGCCCCCGTGGGAGCGCTGGTGCAGGGCCTGGAAAGGGTAGGAGCCGTTGGCTGGGTTCAGGTCAGAGCGGGCTGAGATGGCGTTCTCTGCGTTGGCCTGGGGGTTGCAGGCTTTGCAAAGCGACAGGGGGTCATGCAGGAAGTCATTGTACCTGGACGTGGGAAAGGAGGGGGCATCGGGAGTGCTGGGGAGTCCGAGCTCCCGGTGGCGGCAGCCCCGAAACAAGCCACCTGCGTTCCCGTGCCCAGCTGCACCCCCCACCCCCCCACCCCCGGCCGGGGGCTTCCTTCACCCTTCACCTCGTCATTCCATGCCCATCCTCACATCCGCTCAGGCAGCCCTCCTCCAGGGCCCCTCCGGGCCCCCCACCCCGATCCAGGCTAGATAGCCCATCGTGCCCCTTCATAGCAGTTCTGGGGGCTCAGCCCGTCCTCGCCCCGGCACCCACATCAGCGTGAGTGCTTGACGGATTTCGCATCTCCCACAGCCAGGGGGCTCCCCGCTTTGTGCCGTTCCTCCGGTACCGAGCACAGTGCCCAGCACCGGGGGGGGGGGTGGGGGGGCACTCAGCGGCGGGTCAGCACCCTCACCTGTAACGTGTAGTTACGGCTGGCCGCCGCCCTATGACCCCCCGGGCTCATGGCAAGGTTGACACAGGGGCCAGGGACGTGCACGCAAAGCTCTACAGGACTCGGGGCTCACTCTCCCCCACGCACCTCATGAGCCGGAGCATGGAGTCCAGGTCATGCACCAGCGACTGGTTCCGCCGGAAGATTTGGGCCCGGGGGCTCCCATCATAGGAGAACCAGTCTCCGTACTGGGCCACCAGGGCCTGCAGCCCACTGGCATTGAACACACTCTCAAAGTACCTGCGGGGGATAAGGACAGTCACTCACCACCCCTGCCCACGCTGGCTGCGGCCGGGGAGGCGGAGGGGCAGTCACACCAGAACATTATCACTGACAACCACGACAGGACAGCGAGTCATGTCTTCTGTTTATGCCGGGGGGTGACCAAGCTTAGGCCCTGCGGGCCAAGAGACATGGGTTCAGATGCTGACTTCACCGCTGAACAGCTGGGGAACGCGCCTGGGGAAAGTTAGGCATTTGCTGGAGGCCTCAGTTTCCTCATCTGTGAAATGGGAACAGCGGCCATGGCTACCGTGCGGTGGTTGTAAGGACCGAATCTCTCACTTGGCAGGGCACAGTGAGTGTCCAGAGGTGATGGCTGTGCCGGCCGGTTACAGCAGACGCAGTGGGGGAGCCTCGGCAGGGGTCGGCACCTGAGCCTGGCCACCCCACCCCCACCCCCGCTGTGGGCCGCAGACCTAAGCCCCACCACTGTGCCCCCAAACTGGCAGGGCTTTCCTGGCCAAAGAAAGGCCAGGGTGGCTTCTTTGCTCTGCGGGTTGAAAAGCTCATGCAGGGAAGGACCCCTGACCAGCACAGAAAACTGAGTAGGGGTGAGGCAGGTATGGGGCAGGGGTGGGGACATACGGTATGTTGTAGCTGGCCCAGTAGGTCTTCTGGTAGAGTTCTGAGGTCTTATCGGCCACCACTACCATGCCCCTGGGACCAAGAAGAGAAATGGGGCAAGACTGGTGAGAAAGAGGGTACCTGTGGGCACTGCCCTGCTCAAGAACCCCTGATGGCTCCCCAGTGCCCAGAAGTAGATTAGGTCCTGGATCCTTCACCCCATTCAGAGGCTGCCTCCCCCTCCCACCTGGCCTTCCTCAGATGTTCGCCTTCCCACGCACATTGCAGCATGCCTCCAGACTTTTTCCTAGGCAGTTCCCTCTGCCTGGAACCCCCTGCTTTCCTTCCCAGGGTACTCACGGGATCTGCTCCAGGATGGTGAGCACCCTGTTCCTGGGGCTGGGCCCGCCAGGGACGAATGCCTTGTAGTCCACGATCATCCACTGGTTGTTGTACCTGCCATGCCCAAGGAAGGACTGAACATACCTTGGGGCCACTGTCCCAGCCTCCCCCATGCCCCAGTGCCCTGCACCGCCAGGAATCAAGGGGAAGGGGTGGCATGGGGGGTGTCCTGCCATGTGACTGTCACCCTGACACTGCAGCTTGACCAGGTGTCCTCTGTCTGCTCCAGAGAAGTCTATAGCTCCCTAGTGCTTATTGGAATAAAGGTCTAATTCTTTAGCCTGACATTCTAAGACCCTGCACTATCCAGCTCCAGTGTCTCTGGCTCCCAGGGCCCTCACCCACCCGTGCCCACTTGCTCAGACGGCCCTCCCCGTCTCCAGAGCCCTCAAATCCCAAGTTCTCTTCCTGGCCTCCCTCTGGGGGCCTTTCCCTGGATGGGAGAGCCTTCAGGAGAGAGGCAAAGACCCAGTTTCCCTAAGTATAAAACAAGGGAGAAGACTTTAAGACACCTTCCAACTCCAGCAGGGACCGTGAAAGGGCTCTGCAGAGGGTGTGGGGCATGTGGTCCTGGTGCCACGTCAGGGGGGAGGTTGGCCCATCTCTTGGGTGAGGAGGCCACAGTGCCAAGAGCCCACTCACGTGCCACTGTTGAACCTCTTGAAGGTGTCTGCCCAGGCGTCCCCGTCCAAGGCCAAGCGATTGGCCACCACATTACGCAACCACTCCAGCACACAGTCCTTGGGCCGCACATACTTCCAGAGGGCCGGGTTCCTGTTGCCGATGGTGGTCTCCAGTGTCACCTGTGGGAGGGCCCCCTGACTTAGGACCAAGGCATGCTGCCACCAAGTGGCAGTGCTGCATCAATCATGGTCCGTACACTGGTAACAGTTTTTTTAAAACCTCATGTGCTGCTTTGGGTGCACATTCCTCACTGGTTCCCTGGCTGAGCGCCGAGGGGGATTCACGATCATGCATCCAGCTTTGCCCTGGGGAACAGCCCCTGGGAGAGCCCAAGGTGCTGCTCCTATGGACCCCATCCCCCAACCAAGTCAGTCAACTCTTTCCCCGGAGAGACAGCATCCTCTTTCTACCCCTTCCTTGCAGTTTTGCGGGGAAAGTCGGGCGGCTCGAGGCTGTTAGCCTGGTAGACTACCACAGTCTCACTGAATTCTTCCAGCCCTCCTGGGAAAAACACAGCATGGCTACTAATGCCCCTTTTTACTGAAAGGTAAACTGAGGCCTGAAGAAGCTAAGAGACGTGCCAAAGGTCATGGCTGGTCAGTGGATGGGCCACTGTTCCATCAGCAAACTTCCAGCTCTTAAATCAGTATCTTTGACCTTGACCTTAGTGACCCCTGTTTTGTTTGGCTGTGTTTAGCATAAGCCATCCCTCCCTCCATCATGACCTTGCTGTTTCTCATCCTGCCTCCCCTCCTGCCTTCCTCAAACTCCCTCTAACCCGGCCGGGTTTTCTGAATAAGTTGTTTACAGTGTGTTGTTTTTATTGGATTTCCTGGCTGAGGCCCAGGCTCGTTTAGAAATCTGTTCCTGGCACCCCTCGCTGGGGCATTGAGCCCTGAGACTGCAACATGCAGAGAAGAAAACATTGCTCTAAAAAATGTGCTCCAAGCAGAAGATGCTAGTTTCCCTGCGGGAGCGGTGACAAGGGGCTCTTTCCTGCTCTGCTACCTTCTGAGAGAAGTGGGGGGCTTAGTTCCCTGAAATGGGGAAAGAGGCGGGTGAGGGCCAGGTTGTAGGTGAGGGGACCCCCTTGCTGCAGTCCGGCGGGGGCAAGGAGGGGACAGTCTGGGGAAGGACAGCTGAGGAGGTCTCATCCAGTTACCTGGGAGGGATCCCGGCAGGAATGTACCTTCCATCGGGGTCTCTGACTGTTATGCCACAGAGCCCTTTGGCAGTCTGGGGGGCTGTGAACCCCATCTCAGAGTAACATTTTCAAATGCATAAACCAAAATATATGGGATCATAAGGGAATTCAGTGATATTAAAATGTGTTTAGCGAAATATTACGTAAATAACCTTTTAATATTATATATGCGCTGCTTTGTGAACTTACTAAATAACGAGCTCTGGGAGCGGGTGTGCTAACTACCATAACTTCGAAGGAACGGGGAGCATAAATGATGTTTTGAGATGGGTGCAACCCTGTCATATGGTGGGAACACATCTGATTTCTGTTGGTGACAGGTCTCAGGTACCACTCATGTCACAGTGGCGGGTCACCCTGCTCACAATGCCAGGAGGTGCTGAGTTCCAGTTTGGTGGCGGTGGGAAGGAAGAGGTGGTGTTTTCCCTTCCAAGTCTGCAGACTCCCTGAGTACTGCCCCAGGTTCAGAACTCCCCCCGGCCCTAGAGGGCAGACTGCCTCCCAGGGCTTTCTGGGCCACGCTGATCTGAACCCTGGCAGTGACTCTGGATGCCAAGAGCAGCTGGTTGAGGGACAAGGAAGGTACAGGCTGGAAGGAGTGGAAGGAGGTGTCCCCAAGAGGTGCTCTCAAGAGGCTTGCTTTCCAGATTCTTCTTTTAAACATCACATTTATGGCTCTTGCTATCTTTTAGCTGGTTTTTGGACTTCATAAAAGGAGGAAGCATGCTAATAATCCTGGTGTAGAGGAACGAGCATTGATGCAAAACGGCCCCAAGAGCAGCGACTGCTGAGGAGCTGGCTCGTGGAATGGAGAGTCCGGGGAGGCCGCAGGATTTGGCGGGCCCCAGCGGGGACTGGGAATCCGATTGTAAGAAGCCATCCGCCCCTCCCCAGTGGTCCAAGTACCACAGCAGAAAAGCCCCCAGCGCGGAATGGTGATGGGGGCTGCGTCCACCCACCTGCCCAGAGCTGCCAGGTGACCTACAGCCTGGGGGAAGAAAGGCCACACGGGAGGGACACTCACCAGCCCGCTGCCGATGATGTAGAAGTCGTCACAGGAGAAGAGTGCGCCAGGGTAGGACGAGAAGACCAGCTTGTTGCCAGGAGCCAGGGGAGAGTTTTCTGCGGGGGGAGAGTGAGCCCGGAGGGGGCAGGGGTGCAGGTCAGACCAGCCCACCTGGGGACCCCAGCACCCCAACCCAAGAGCCAGAGCCTCGAGGTAGGGAGCAGCAAGCCTCAGAGGGAGCCTCCAACCATTCTGATATTTTAGTAAACCAGGCCATGAGCGGCTGATGGGAAAGGGGACTGGGGAGTGACTGCTTCCTGGAGTTTCCTTCTGGGGTGATGAAGGTATTTGGGAACTAGATTCAGGTGGTGGATACACAACAGTGTGGATGTTCTAAATGCCACTGAATTGTTCGCTTTAAAATGGTTCACTTTACCCTATATGAATTTCACCTCAATAAAATAAGTAAACCAAAACATAAATAAACAACCAGAATCTTTTTTTTTTTTTACTACCAGAAATTTTTAAAAATTAGTGCAGGTTTATATTTTCTTCTAGAACAGGCATAACTAACCTAACGGGAAGGAAACTAGAAGAGTGGTTGCCTGAAGAATAACTACAAAGGGGCACAGGGGACTGCCCGGGGGGACGGAAATGTTCTCCATCTTTACTGAGTGGCGGTCACATGACTGAGGGTTTGTCCAGGCCCCGCAATATGTACATCCTAAAGGTGTGTTTAAGCTAGCCATTAGTAAAGTTAATACAAAGGGACGGGGGGGGAGGCTCAGCCCAGGATGTCATGTATCACCCATCGGAATGGCAAAAAATTGAAATGAACATAACACCCAGTGCTGTCAAGGTGAGCTGACACGGTCACAGACTCGTGGACAAGTGTAAACCGGACCAGCCACTTTGGGAGGCAATTTGGCTGTATGTATCCAGAGACTAAAATGTTTAATTATGCCCATCTCTTTTATTTTTTTTTAAAGTAGGCTCCACACCCAGCGAGGAGCCCAACGCTGGGCTTCAACACACAACCCCAAGATCAAGACCTGGGCTCAAATCAAGAGTTGGACACTTAACCAACTGAGCCACCCAGGCACCGCTAATTACACCCAGTTGTTTTTTTTTTTAAGATTTTATTTACTTATTTGTTTGAGAGAGCGAGCGAGTAGGGGGAGAAGCAGAGGGAGAGGGCAAGCAGACGCTGTGCTCAGCACAGAGGCTGACAAGGGGCTCCATTTCATAACCCTGAGATCACAATGAGCCAAAATCAAGAGTCGGACACTTAACCGACTGAGCCCCCCAGGTGCCCCCACTTATGTCCATCTTTTAACCTAGCATTTCCACTTGGGGGCCCACTTGTCTTGCCGCAGCACCGAATGAAACACCAAAGACCTGGACATGGCCCAAATCCTCAATTGAGAACTAGTTAATTTCACATCAGCTGTTAAAAGGTGGACTGAACGTGGCAATACCCAAAATTCTCCAAGGCTAGCTGTTGAGCAAAGGGAGCAAGATGCAAATAATCCATATGCTATGGTCTTATTTATGTTTAAAAAAAAAACCCAGAAAGGGGCGCCTGGGTGGCTCAGATGGTTAAGCGTCTGCCTTCGGCTCAGGTCATGATCTCAGGGTCCTGGGATCGAGTCCCGCATCGGGCTCCTTGCTCCTTGGGAGCCTGCTTCTCCCTCTGCCTTTCTCTCTCACTCTGTCTCTCATGAATTAAAAAAAAAAAAAAAAAAAAAAAAAAAAAAAAAAATCTTAAAAAAAACCCAAAAAACCCAGAAAGCAGACTGTTTAGGGCAGCGAAACTGCCGTATAGTACCGTAAAGGTGGACATCCATCGCTGTGCATTTACCAAAATCCGTACAACCATACTATTCAAGGTGAACTTGAATGTCAACTATGGATTTCCGTTGATAGTAACGTACTGACATCAGTAGATCAATTGTAACAAGTGTTCCACACCAATGCAGCATGTTTATAACAGGAGAAAGGAGCGGGGAGGTATACGGGAACTCTCTGTATTATCTACTCGATTTATCTGTAAACCTAAAGTTTTTCTAAAGAATAAAGTCTATTAAGTAAAAAAAAAAAAAAAAAGGTTCACATATACACAATATAAGTGTCTAGTGCAAAAAAAAATCTAGATGGATCCAAACCAAAATGGCAGCAGGTATCCGCTCAGGAAGGGTCTGGAATTTGGGAGGAGGGTATCATAAGAGATGTATTTCTTCATCTGCATTGCTGATGAAGAATGTACGTGAATGTATTCACGTATTACTAGCATAATAAAAATCAATTAAAACAAGTGGGAAAAGAAGGTACAATTTTAGTCTAGAAAAAAACAGAACCAAATATTCACAGAAATTATCTCCTATGGGTTATGGGGTGTTCAAGTGATTTTGATTGTATATGAACAGCTTAGTGTATTTTCCAATTTCCTATACCATGTGTATAACTTACGTAGGCTTTTGTTTCTTTGTTTAAATAATCTCTACTCCCAACATGGGGCTCAAACTCACAACCCCGAGATCAAGAGTCGCGTGCTCTACGGACTGAGCCAGCCAGGTAGGCAACCTTACGTAGGTTTTCTTCAAAAGATACTACAATGTTCATGGATCTGTAACAATGAACACGACAGATCTGTGGCTACAAACAACAAGGTGGATGAACCTTGCAGGCACTGCGCTAAGCGAGCGAAGTCACAGCCAAGCAAGCACACGTGCTGTGTGTGTCTACACACGCGACATGCAACATCAGCCACACCTCATGCACGCTGTAAGAAGGCAGATGGAGATTGTGCTGGGGTGGGGATACGTGCCTGGAAAGGGCCAGGAGAGCAGCTTCGGGGGGCTGGGAATGTCCTGGTTCTCAGTCTGGGTGCTACACACAGATGTGTGCAATATGCAAACTTCCAGCTGTACATGTGCGATGTGCACGCTTCTCTGTATACGTGTCAATGCAGAAATTTACTTAAGTTAACGGGCATTAGGTTGTTTCCCAACCATTACTGTAGTTGACATCCTTGTGCCCCATCCCTGTGCACAAGTCGAAATGTTTCTCTACAGACAGGTCTGAGCCAAGAATTGCTGGACCACGGGAGTCACAGATTTTGAATTTTATTGGCTACCGGCGGGGTTCTTCCTCAAAGTGGCGGCACCAACCGGTACTCACTCCCATTAGCAGAAGATGAGGGTATACATCTCCCCACCCCCTCGCCACTTCCTGGCAACATTTCGATTTTTAAGTTTCGCCAAGAAGGAGGCGCTGCAAACATCTGGCAGTGGCTACCTCCGGGGTGGACACTGGGGCCAGGGACTGGATGGGGGAACCACGCTGGGGCACTTGGGCCTTAGTTGCAAAGTTTTCACGTTTGACAGGAAGAGCATATTCATGTATTCACGCATTCCTTGTGTAGCTGAGTGTTTGTACTGAGTGTCTGCTGTAATTCTTCCCATGCTTGCATCCCTACCGTCTGCAGCGCGACCCTGCGATTCCTCACATCAAATGCTGGGCTCTGTTTCCCCACCTCTCAAATCGGAGCTGGTCACCGGACTTGCTCTGAGCTAAAGAATGTTGTGCCCGTTTCGATCAGCCTTCAAGAGGCCTTCCACACTGCCCTGCCCAGATATCACAAGAATAAGCCTGAGCTAGCCCAGCGACGCCAACACCCAGCTGAGAGTCACCCCCAGACACGCAGATGAGGCCATCCTCGGTCAGCCAGCTCACTCCGGCTGACCGCAGAAGCATCAGTGACCCAGCCAAGATTAGCCAGGCCTGGTCCGGCATAACAAAACCATCCGGCTGACCCACAGACACATTGAGCAAAAATAAACGGTCGTGTTTTAAGCTTCTGTTGTTTTAAATTTGGAATGATTTGTTATACAGCAACAAGTAACTGATACACCTTGTGAAAAGGAACTAAAAGGAAACAAAAATGTTAACAATAAGATGGACTCCTAGAGCAGTTGGACGGTGTGCACAGGGCCAAGGCCCACAGCTCCCGGCGTCCCCCACCCCCTGCACTGTGTGCCCACATGCATGCTCACACACAGATACACCCACATCCACCCACCTTGGGGGTCTTCCCGGAACTGGAACCAGTACTTCTTGATGACGCGCAGCATGTTCTGGTAGGAGCTCCAGGTGTTGTGGGCGATCAAGAGGTCCGTCTGGCCAGGCAACAGCTTGATGAGGGCAGAGCAAGAGCCAGAGCCCATAACGTGCTTGGTCTTGGTCTTATTCAAGGCGGGCTCCAAGTCTCCCAGGTCCCCGGCGAGCTGCAACAGGCTGAGGAGGGTGGGGGGCCGGAGAGTTACCACGCCTGCCTGCCGGGAGTGCATTTCCATACCCCTTTCACAGAGGAGGAAGCTGAGGCTCTGGAAGGCTACGTGAGCGGTCCGAGGCTGGGCCAGGAGGTGGCAGAACCCATATGGGAACCCAGGTCTGTCTGACCATGAGGCGCATGGCCCTCTCCCCTACCCTGTCCGCTCCGGGAGTGGCACTTACAGGAACCCCAAGGGTTTGATGGTAAACCTCCCAGTTGGAAAGGTCATACTGCCTTCATAGCTGTCCTCGAGGCCTTTCAGCTGCAGGAGGGTCAGCCGCACCTGGGGGGGGGGGCACAGATGGGGTGAGGCCTCTCCCCCTGGGGCTCACGCCTTCTCCTGCAATGGGAGGGGCCCAGGTGCATCCTCCAGGATCCTGACAGCCCTGACCCCCCCCCTTCCTAGCACCCAGCCCTCCGTGCCAAGCACTCTCTTGCCATCACTTAGTTAACTATGTTTCCGCCCCCTGCCAACCTAAATCACCCCCACTTAAGAGCCCAACTGAAAGCCACCTCCTCCAGAAAGCCTCCCAGCCAGCCCTGACCCACTGTCAATGGCTCCCTATTCTGAGCTCAGTTCCTGGCTGCACTGCTGCCTGAAGGCACATGTCTCACTAGCTGACTTCTCCCCATGGTCACTGTCCCTGCTCTCTAACTAGGGAGATCATCACTGTGTCCCCCGTGCAGCCTTGGTCGGCGCTGGGTATATACCAGGTACTTCATTAGCATCTGCAAGAAGGATGGACGGGTGGACAATAGGGTAAGATACACGGACGGACAGTCAGGCAGCACTGAGAGATGGATGCGTGGCTGCTAAGTTATGTAGAAGGGAGGGAAGGACAGAGAAGCAATCGGCCAGGTGGATGGCAGGGTGGGCAGAAGGACAGATGTCCAGTTGGGTGCATAGACTGGATGGGCAGACAGGACAAGACAGATCCATTCCTTCATCTCTAAATATTCCACCAACCTTTACATGTAAAGCACCCACTGTGTGCCGGCCCTTGTGCTAGGCGCCAGGGATACTGTGGAGGACAAAGCAGATGTGGTCCCTGCCTTGTCCTCGTGGGGCTCGAGTCTCGCTGAAGACAGACTCTGAGTCCCTCACTAGAGCGCCACCGGGAAGTATGGGGATGGGACAGAGGTGAGGGGTGAGGGGAAGAAGAAGGTGTTCTGGGCAGAAGGGGCAGCAGGTCCTAAGCCCTGAGGCAAGAGGCAACACATCTTGTTCGAGAAACCAGGAGGTCAGGGAGGCTGGACCACAGAGCAAGGAGGTCAGCAGGAGATGAAGCTGGGGATAGACAGGGTGCATCATGCCCAGGGAACGGGGCGGCCCTGGGTGGGGAGAGAGAGCAGCTGTGGTGGAGCTACAGATGGACAGACTGACACTGAGAGGTGCTTCGATGGCCGATGGCTGGGAGAAAGGTGGGGATTGAAGCAGACAAGGTGGACGATCAGATAGACAGCTGGGCAAGTAAATGGGAAGAAGTGTGGGGGGGAGTGGACAGACAGGTTAGATGGCAGGCAGGGAGATGGACAGGCAACAAAATGGGGGTATGTCAACGGTTGGGGAGGTGGTTGGTGGGAGAACTGAGAACTGGCTTGAGATGGGCAGGGGGTAGCAGATGGGTGAGAGAACGAGAGAGGAAGACAGATAAACCTGTGGGTGGTACGTGTGCTGACAAACTAGACACACGGATGGCTGGGTGGGAGGGAAGGGTGGACAGGGAGGGAGGGGGGATGAATGGAAGACAGATGGATGGGTGGGTAGGAGGGAGAGAGGAAAGGATGGAGGGAAAGGGAAGACACTATGGCGGGAGGGAGGACTGAATGGCTGGATGGACAGATGGATGAATGGATGGGTGGTTGGGTAGGTAGGTAGATGAATGGACGGATAGTTGGGAGCGAGGGACAGAGGGAGAGGGAAGAAGGAAGAGAAGACTGGATGGATGGACAGACATATGGAGGGTGGATGGATGGATGGATGGGTGGGTGGGTGGATGGCCAGGGAGGAAGGAAGGACTGATGGATGGATGGGTGGATGGGTAGATGGATGAAGGAGAGAGGGAGGGAGGGAGGGAGGGAGGGGGAAAGGGCTGGCGAAGAGGGCTGGGAGACAGGCAGCTGGCCAGCAGAAGCCACAGCAGTGGCAGGTCCCCAGAGCAGACCCAGCCCGCCGCCCCTCCCACAGAGCATGGGGGCCACACCCACCTGATGCCAGTAAGCAGAGCCCTTGTTCAGCTCCATCTCCTCCTGCATCCACTCCAGGTTGGTCTCCAGGAAGCTCTTGAGCTTCTCGCAGTAACCGACTTCATACTCGAAGGGGCCACAGTAATTCACCACCGTGTTCATCCAGTGCATGTAGATGAGCTGCGGGGCAGGCGAGGTGGGCGAGGGTCGGGGCGGGGTAACCAGGCTGCTCTCCTCGCCGAGGACCCCGCTGGCTCCCCACTCGGGCTCACACTCCTCACCCCGTCCAGGCCTCCGAGAACCATGGTGCCCTGGTGAGGCCCCTCCGCACCTTTGCTCCCGCTGGCTCTCATCCCCCCGAGGCCCCTCCCACCCAACCCACTCTTGTCCCATCAGGGCCCAAAGCTTCTGGATGTCTCCCTCCTTTGAGAGCCTTTAGCATTCAAAGTCTGCTCCAGACTGAGCATCCTCTGTTACTGGAGACCCCCAAGCTATGGATGTATTCGGTCAGTCAACAAACTACGACTTTGGCGCCCCTACCGTGTCCTGTCTGAAGCCCCGAGGACACGGCAGAGAACTCACAACTGACATGCGCGTGCACAAGTGAATGCCGGGCCGGTTCAACCAGCCGTCGAGAGGCCTTCCACACCTCCCGGCCTGATGTCACATGAATAAGACAGGGCACGTTCAAAACCACATCGGCCCCGTCGGCCCCGTCACCCAGGCTGACAGACAGCCAACCCCCAGATGCATAAAGGAGACCGTTCGAAGCCACCCAGCTGCCCCCGCTGACCAGCCAGCTGACCGCGGAAGCATGCGTGGAACCGGCCAAGATCAGCCAGGCCTGGCCTGGAATCCCGAGTCCACCCAGCTGTCTTTCTAGCAGGGGCAGGGGCGTCCCCTATCTTGTGGCACTAGGGGCACCTGGTCCGTCGCCCGGAACTCACATGGATGGCACTCTGTATGAACGCACCCACGCAAAGCTCAAGCAACTCTGCAAGGACATTGCTATCCTCACCATCCCCGCTTCATAGCTGAAGACACCGAGGCACGGGCAGGTGACTAACTTCCCAAGGTCCTCCAGGTACTGAATCAAAGAGTCAAGATTTGAACCCTGGAAAGGTGTGGATTTGTAATTTCCCAAAGGCTGCGGGGTTAACTTCCAGCCACACCCCTCGCCGCACTGGAAATACTCCCAAGACACACAGGCCAGTGAGGGGATTGTGGCAGCACCCGGTACCCCAAGACTGATCGCTTAAGGACCCCCGCCCCCGCTCCACGGCCATCTCCCTGAAACACATCCGATTTCTCCTCTGCCCCTCAAGGCCTCAAAAAGATGCCACTTCCCCCATATACCTTTCCACTACTTCCAGAAGCATTTCCCAAGTGCCTGTCCTATATCAGGCTCTGGCCTGGGTGCAGGGGACACAGCTGGGGACAGGACACCATCACCACTCACGAGAAGCTCCCGGGCCAGTGGCGGGGGGGAGGGGCGCGGGCGGCAGAGCAAAACGCTCAGAAACAATGACTCTGGTCAAACAGCTGGGTTTGAATGCTGGCCCCCCTGCTGACTGGCTGTGTGACCCTGGGTGAGTAATTTCACCTCCCTGAGCCCCGGTGGGGCAGTCACGCTTCCCTCGGTGGGGCGGGGAGGCTGGTGTGCGGGCTGAGGGAGAGAACACGGGCCAGGCTCCTGGCACACGTGTCCGGGCTTCCTCACAGGAGAGCCCCTGGGGCCTTGCCTCAGTGTTCCTGGCAGGCTAGCAGGCCCCCTGAAAGACGGAATCCTGCCTCATTCACCGCACCCCCAGCAGCGCCGGCCTGGCCCAGCGTCTGAGCAGCTCCCCAGACATCCAGGTCCCAAGCGGACGTCCAAAACGGCTGCTGGGTGTCAGAACGAGGAGTGTGAGCTTTATAAGGGGGTGTCCCCTGTGTGCAGTCATCTGTCACGTGCTCTCCCCCCTCAGCAGCCAGCATCCAAGAGCCATCGTGTTGCTGATTCCTTCCCCAAGGTCTATCATACGGCGCTCGGCGGCCCCAGCGCACGTGTGGACTCAATGCTACTATTGCCAAATGACTTTCCCAAGTGGGTGTCACACCTCCCCCCATGCTGCAGGAGACGGGCTGTCACCACAAAGTGTCACCCACTTCTGAGACAAGCCGCCTTCTGAAATTGATGCTAGCACTCTTCTAAAGCCCCAGATCAAGTAGGGCAAAACAGTAGGTTGTCTGAGGATTCCACACGTGTGGTAAAACTAGTTTAACAAAAGTAAGAGGGTGGAAATAATTCAAGTGTCCGTCCACGGATGCGTGGATAAATAAAATGTGGTCCATCCATCCAAGACAGTATTATTTGGCCACAAAAAGGAGTGAAGACTGACACAGTCTAGAACGGGGATGAATCTTGAAAACACGATGCTGAGGAAAAGAAGCCAGACACAGAAGACCACCCACCCACATGAAATGTCAAGAATCAGCAAACCCATGGAGACAGAAGGTAGGTTAATGGTTGCCAGGGGCCGGGGTGAGGGAGAAAAAGGAGCTTTGGGTATGGGGTTGCTTTCTGGGGCGATGAGAATGTTCTGGAATGGGGCAGTGGTGATCGTTGCACAACCCTATGAATATACTAAAAACCACAGAGTTGTACATTTTAAAATAGTGAGTTTTATGGCATGTGAATGATATCTCAATATGAATGAATGAATGAAAGTCGCATTTAGGGTGATGGTGCCTCTGGGGGCAGGGGTTGGGAAGGGGGCCTCAGAGGGATCAGTAACACTGTACGTTTTAGTCTGGATGTCTGTTTTATTGCTCTGTGACTCAGAAAATGTCATACATCCTTCATACGCATCAAATACTACCTAGCCTAAGTTTTTTAAAGACTGCACGTGAGCTCTGGCTGCCCAGTTACGTGGAGGGCTGGGGGTGGGAGCAGGGAGCCCAATCTGCACGCACCTCACCTCAGAACCCTTCCGAGCTTCCTGGGGTGCACGCTGGGTGGGGTGGGAGGCGGGAGCCCCAGGTCCCCCATCTGGCCCTTACCTCCTCAGACACAGCGGCCTCTGCCACACCCGCGGCGTAGGCCTGCAGGCTGTCGTTGTAGTGGCCGTTCGTCTGCAGCTCCAGAAAGGCCCACCTAGACGGGGAGGAGAGCGGGCCCGGTCAGCGTGGGGGCACATGCAAAGCCGGCCCTGGGCTGGGCACGCGGCCACCTCCAGTTAGACCGTGAAAGACAGAGGGAGGAACTGCCATTCGTGCGAATGGCCGTCTGTCTGTCTTTGTGCACTTGTCAGGCGAAATCCCTCAAAGAGGAGCTGCTGGGTCAAAGGGCACAGGCATTTTTAATTTTAATCAGCCTTGACAAACGGCCACCCCCCCAAAAGCTGTACTAATCCACCCCTTACCAGCCAGTGTCAAACAAGGGCTTCCTCTGTGCTAGATGACGTTCTAGTCACTTCTGGTCTACTAACTCATTCAATCCTTGTGACAATCCCACGCTCCTACCAGGCAGGCACTGCTACTCCCCGTAGTACAGAAGAGGAGGGAAATTAAGGCACAAAGTTCCGTAACTGCCGTGGAAGCCTGCGCTACTACCCCTCCACCCTCTCTGTGCCCTCTGCCGTGTGGCTTTGCGGTCCCTCCTATCCATGGCCAAGTCCCTCCCCGCCCCACTTATCTGGGCTCCGTCATATGACTCGCTTTGGCCAATGGATGGAACTGACCGTGTGCCAGGTGTAAGATTAGCCTTTGCGAGGCCTCCTTTGTTTCCGCTTGCCCTCCTCTGCCTCTGCAGGAGAACATGGCCCAGCCAGCCCGCTGCTCTCAGGAACATGACAGAAACATGGAGCAGACCAGCTCTGCAGACCCATAGTATGAGGCAGAGCTGCCCTGGCTGCCCCTTGGACCCACCGAAAATAACCCTGGGTTATCTCTGAAGCCAGTGGGTTTGGCGGCTAGTTCGTTACACAGCACCGTTGCCCAACACTAGCTGATACGCTTGCCGAAGGTTACAGAGCTGGTAAAGGGCCGAGCCGGGATTCAGGTCCAAGCAGACTGGCTCCCATTCCTTCCAGGAAGCAGCACTTCCCAAACTCTGACGTGCATCCATGTCACTCAAAGACCTGGTTCGGGAGTAGATTCTGATCAGGAGTCGGGGCAGGGGCCTGAGACCCTATATTTCTAACTAGCGGCCAGGTGAGGCCAGCACCACCAACCTGCAACCACGCTTGGCTGTAGACCACCTCGCCAAAACGTACCCACTCCTGTCTGTCCACTCCTTGCCTGAAAGGATTCCTAGCAATCTTTCTCATCTTTGCCAAGGCAGTGGTTGAAAAACGCAATCATGTTGTTTTGATGATAATCCTTTAATTAGTTCAATTATCCTTGTTTTAATTTTTAAATTTAATTAATTGAAATTGGTTGGTTAATTGAAATTGAAATTGGTTGAAAAACGCAATCATGTTGTTTTGATGATAATCCTTTAATTAGTTCAATTATCCTTGTTTTAATTTTTTAATTTAATTAATTAACGTATTTATTTATTTTTAAAGTAGGTTCCACACCCAGCACGGGGCTTGAACTCACGACCCTGAGATTAAGACCTGAGCTGAGATCAAGAGTCAGACGCTTACCCGACTGAGCCACCCAGGCACCCCTACACTTGTTTTTAAATTTTTACTGGTCACCTATAGTTCTCTGGTTCAAGGGCTTTACTCACTTTTCTCCCTTGAGTTTCTTTTCTTATTGATTTGTGAAGTTCTCTATGTACACATTAGCGCTTTGCTTGTCACTAATATTGAAAATATGTTTGTATTTTAATTGATTTTTTGCTTTTGCTTTTGCCATATAGAGGTTTTTGGGGTTTTTTGCGCTGCCAAATCTATCCATCTTTTCCTTTATGGTTCTGGATTTCATTCTTGCTCCTAGGACACAAAACTATTCACCCAGGTGGCTTCTGTAACTCGGGGACAAACATTTGTTAAGGCAATTTCCACGAAGAAAATGAGGGGCACCAGGAAGATGCTAATGAGACCAGGAAGAGGCTCCGAAACAAGGCAGAGCCAGGCTCCGCCAGAACGGTCTCACGGGGAGGTGGCCAACACGCCATCCGAGAGCTCCAGGGCAAGAACAGCTGTGGCCTAGAGAGAACTCTGGAGAGGAAAAGACGATCAAAACACGCTCACCTGATACTTGCAGCAAGCAAGCCATTTTGAGAGCCTACCGGGTGCCAGACACCGAGGGTGCACAAAAGTGAAGGACATTCAGGCTTGGCCTTCCCAAGGCTAATGGGGGGGTGATGGGTGGCTGGGGGCGGGGGGCATGTAAGCAGGTAATGACATAACAGGGCAACTGCTACGATGAGAAAGGGCTGCCATGTGCTGACGAGATGTCAGAGACAACATAAAAAAAAGATCAGAGAAGGATAAATGGTAGACTCAGGATAACCCTGTGTGTGCAAGCATTTTACTCACGCATGCATGCACGCATACCTACACTTAAACATACACATGCACGCTTAGGCCTATTTTTGCATAGAAAGTTGTGGAAGAAAGAGCTAACAGTGGTTATATATGTGGGGACTTATCTCACACATCCTAACTTTTCTAAACTGCTGGGATTTTTTTTTACCACAAAAAGTTAATTGTCTAACAATCACCACCCTCCCCCATCTCCTTGTGCGCTGCCTTGTTCCAAAAGGCAACTGGGGTGATTCCATTTAGATGGGTTTTATTCACTTTGCCTGAGTCCTCAGAAAAACCCAGAGAGATGGGTTTCCACCTATCTTTCCAGAACACTTTGGGCAGGGGACGTTCTCATTTAAGGGGTTTTGTTCCAAGCCACCAGACTTCAGTGCCGGAGCCCCTGAGGCTGATCTCTGAGGATCCCTCTGTTGCCTTAGGCCCTAAGCCTAATCAAATGATTCCTCACCCCTTCACCCCCCCTTCCCCCCATCCTAAAGGGTTCTCACCACCCTTGCCACAGAGATGAGGCAGGCGAAAATACGAGCCTAGATCGCTCTGATAGTAAACTCTGCTCCATACTACACTTCCTGGCCCTTCCAGCCTCGACTTCCCCATCTGTAAAATGGGGGAGGCTTGAACTTGGGCAAACGGCCTCTAGATTCCCTCACTGCTGTGCGACTGACAACTTTGCAAAACTCTATCCCCATCCCTGGTCAAAAGGAAACCACTGACAAGCGTTTCTAAAGTTAAATGTACCCATTAGACTGCTCTCTGTTAAAGAACACGTCCTTCCTGCTTACTTGGTTCTAAAATAGCTGATCTTTTATGAGATAAAATTGACAGAGATCAATAAATGCTGTTCTGTTTTGGTTTTAATGCACTCACTTGACAAAAATAAAAAGTTGGCAGTACTGATCTGTTTCTCCAATCTTCTTTTTCTTTAATCTGGAGCGTCTATGGGCCACACTGTGATTTTATGCCACGGGTGCCTAATGCCTGACGACTCCAGGGTCTAAAGAGGCCACGTTTGAGAAAAACCAGACCACTGCTCTGTGATGAGCAGGGGGGGTCACAAACCTCCCCCGGTCACCACGCCCTGACCTGGACACAGTGCACCATGGACACCTTCACCTACCTTATCTGTGCCTCCAATTCCTTCCTCACTCTTGATGGGATATGTTCACCTTTTCTGACTTCCAAGAACAGCTGGATGGTATTTACCCACTTTACTGGGCTGGGTTTCTGCTCATTAGTTAGTGGATTTGAGTGGGTTCCCTGCTTCTTAACAGGGTAATTCCCTCTTACTGGTACTCACTTCCTTTCTCAACTCCGCAGTGACTCGTGATTTGGGTTGGGCAGCTGGTTGCGGAGTCAGGGATGGAGGAAAAGGTAGGGCTGGAGGGGTGCAGCCTCCCCAACACCAAGGCTGGAATCAAACTGGCGCAGGCTCGGCCTCCTGGGGCACCTCTGATGCCCAAGCACCGAATCCTAAATGTTTCAGGTTTCATGGGGAGTATCAGTCCCAGGTCAGATACAGCACAACTGAAAGAGGATAGACTACGGGGGGGAAAGAGGACATGGAATTTATCCTGACAATCCCAGGATCCCCTGTGGCGAATTCTGAGGGACAGAAGGAGGAGAGATCCCAACTCAGGTAAACAGAAGAGTCAAATCCCTGGCGTCCATCCTTTGAAAAACGAGACAGGCACCCACAGTTCAGAGGTTCTGCTGATCGGGGGCCAGGAAACCTCAGATGTCTTTCTTTCATCTTATCCCTGAGTTCTAAGAGGTCGATCTTAAGGGCCTCAGTTTCCCTGTTTCCAATATCTGGGCTTCTTTTTTTTTTTAAATATTTTATTTATTTGGGCGCCTGGGTGGCTCAGTCGGTTAAGCGACTGCCTTTGGCTCAGGTCATGATCCCAGGGTCCTGGGATCGAGCCCCACATCAGGCTCTCTGCTCCGCGGGGAGCCTGCTTCTCCCTCTCCCACTCCCCCTGCTTGTGTTCCCTCTCTCACTGTCTCTCTCTGCCAAATAAATAAATAAAATCTTTAAAAAAAAATTTTTTTATTTATTTATTTGGGAGAGAGAGAGAGCACGAGCAGAGGGGAGGGAAAGAGGGAGAAGCAGGCTCCCCACTGAGCAGGAAGCTCGATGAGGGACTCGATCCCAGGACCCTGGGATCATGACCTGAGCTGAAGGCAGACACTTAACCCACTGAGCCACCCAGGAACCCCAAAATAGGGGCTTCTGATACAGTTCTCCCGACAGCCCAGCCCCCAGTGCTAAATAGGCCAACTGGACAGAAAGGATGCTGGAAAGGGGACATGAGAACAAAAAGTGTGGACGAGACCTGGGCTCTCGCCTCAGGCCTGTTTCCCTGACTGTAAAATGGGGGCAGAGGACACCTGCTCCTTTCTCTTTCACTCATTTCTTCCTTCAGTAAACAAACAGAGTTGCTTTCTGTGATCCCACTGAATTTCCCTTCAAGCCTCACCTTTAGTAGAGGAAACGGGTTCAGAGAGGCGAAGTGATTTGCCCAAGGTCACACAGCGAAGGAGCTGGGCCACAAAGAGCTTTCCATCCACCACAATCAAGGAAGCCCTCTCTTCATTTCTGTTTTCCATAATTCAGAGCAACACAGCCCAGTGGGGGCCTCCTGGGGACAAGGCCCCCTTCCCATACTGGGCCTCACCTCTGTGCCTCCTTCCTAGCTAACATGGAGGCAGAGATTTGTCATGCCCTCTTGGCTTTGCTAAGCAGGGCCAAAAACACGTGTGAGTCAGCAGAGAATGGGTCACCAGATTCCAGAGCCACAGAGCTCTAGTTCCCTCCATAGACAATAACTAGCCCACCCTGTGGCCTCCTCTCCCTGAGAGCCTTCCCAGATCAGCCCCACCCAGCTCCTGTGTCTGCAGCAAATCCCCTCCTCACAATCTCCCCTCTGTCTGTCTATCTGATACCCTCCCAAGTCCCACAAAGCATCAAGATGGGGGTGTCCTCAGTGTCCTATATCTCCCCAACACCTGCAGGAATTAATGCATGCCAGCAAAATGGATGGGAGCAGTGGGAGGGTGGAACGGGGAGGGGGCCTTAGGGTTCACTAAGATCCCCAGCATAGCCTTAATCCAGGGCCTGAGCCCTGCTGACAAGGCTTTAAGGCAGATTTTCCCCACTCCCACTGACTCAGGTTACCCTTCTGGTGCTGTCTCCCCCTCTAAATGGAGACCCACCTTGCTCAGCTCTATGTCCCCAAGGCCAAGTACATCAGGTGAGTGAATGAATGAATGAATGCATGGGCAGAAGCCCTGGTACAGGGCCTGAGAAGGGTACCACCCAACCTCCCAGCCAGAGCACATCCTCAAAATCTGAGCCACAGATAACGAAATGGGAGCCCAGACAGGCAGGGGAGTCAGAACAGCAGCTGATCATGACTACCAAGGATGGAGCACTTGGCTCCATACCAACTATCTGGCTAAGCAACTTTCCTCTGGACCAGGAAGGAGGAGAGAAAGAAGGAGCAGAGCCCAAGCAAAAATACTATCTGGATCTACATGAATTTAGGGATCCTGGGTTTTCCCACTGGCCTAGAATCCAGGCTCAGTCGGGCTGCCCTGGTTCTGGAACAGAGGCAGGAGCATGGCACTCATGGGGTAAGCCACACTCAAGGAAGTGAGAGTTTCTCTCTTGAAGAGTTATCACCAGCCTTCTGGCCCAAGGGCGGTGGGGATGAGGGGACGGGGTGCTCCGCAGACCTAATCCAGATGGAGGCACTGGGGTCTGGGTGGTAGGGATCTGGTCTCTAAGTGTAACAGAGGTACTGTCACCCTTTACTGAAGGCGAGGGACTGGTCCCCTGAGCTGAGGGATGCTGCATTAGCCCCCACCCAACCAGGGACCTGCTACAGCCTCAGAGGAGGGGAAACTGACCCGCAGGGAGCCAGGGGCGCGGAGGCCCGGAGCCCGTGCGAGCCCCTCCCCCGGCCGGTCCCGCGCGGGGTTGGGCCAACCCTTACCCGGTCTCGCGGATGGCGTTAGTGAGGTTGGCCCAGGCCACGGCATCCGGGTGGCGGCCATCCACGAGGCGGAGCTGGCCGGTTTCGGCGTCCAGGAGCACCGAGCGGCTGCGGGACTCGGGAGGGACCGGCCCGTTGGGCCCCCACTGGCGTCCCGAGATCGGGATTGCGCCCGTCAAGCCGCTCAGGAACAGCCCGACCAGCAGGGCCAGCACCAGGGCCAGCGCCAGCGCCCGCGTCAGCGCCCGGGCCAGGCGGCCGCCGGGTGAACCGTACATCGGGGCCACCATGACGGCGCGGAGCGGAGCGCCGCAGCGCGGCTCACGTGACTGTACTCGGCTGCGGAGGGCGGGGCCGGCGCGGACCGGGGAGAAGGCGACGCGCGGCGGAGGGCGGGGCTTGGGCGAGCCCTTCCGGGGTGGGCGGGGCCCATCTTAAAGGCGCCTCCCCCCGCGCCTCCGTCCACCTACAGAAACTCCGCTTAACACACTTTACCCCACAGCTGTGTATTTTTTTAAATTGTCAGGCCTTGAGAAAAGTTGCAACCGTGGTAAATACCCATGTGCCTGGCATCAATTGCCAATATTTTGCTATATTTACTTAATTGCTCCAGGATCCACTCCTCACACCATACACAAATAGAAACTCCTGAATGCTGAGCATCTAAATGTAAAAAATAAAACTGCAATTATAGAAGAAAATATGGATGAATTCCTCCATAACTTGTGTGTGGAAAAAGGCCTTCTAACTATGACTTAAAATTCAGATGTAGTAAAAGATTAATACAGTTGACTATATAAAATCTTCTGTAACTTTTGCATGTGGAAAACACCATAAGCAAAGTCAAAAGGTAACTAACAAACCAGGAGAAAATATTTACAACGTATAGCATAGGGGCGCCTGGGTGGCTCAGTCCTTAAGTGTCTGCCTTCGGCTCAGGTCATGATCCCAGGGTCCTGGGATCGAGTCCCGCATCGGGCTTCCTGCTCGGGGGGGGGGAAGCCTGCTTCTCCCGCTCCCACTCCCCCTGCTTGTGTTCCCTCTCTCGTGTTCTCTCTCTCTGTCAAATACATAAAATAAAATCTTTGAACAACAACAACAACATATATCATAGTTAAAAGGCTAATATCATTAGTATATGAAGAACTCTTTAAATTTAAGGGAGGTAAATGTGAAAACCGGATAGAAAAATAGACAAAAAAATGAACAGATAATTCATGAAAAAAAAGATCTAAAAAATGATCCTTAAACTTATGAAAAATGCTCACTTCGTTGGCCATAAGAGAAATGCAAATTATAGCTACACTGAGAATAAAATTTCATAGAAATATACACCAGAAGTTTTGAGTGCATGTGAGAATTGTGAGATTGGAATAAGGTCTGTAATTTAGTTAAAAGTGAGGTGTTAATGTCAATTTCCTGATTTTGATCATTATATTTTGGTTATGGAGGATGTTATCTTTGGGAGAAGCTGGATAAAGACTGCACAGAAACTGTACTACTTTTCAAAAAACTTAAAAAAAATGACTTCTCACCCATCAGATTAGAAAAAATTAAGAAGCTTGACAACATACTCTCTTGATGACCCTGAAGAAATGGACATACATAAATGGCTGGTAGGTGTGCTAAATGAAGGGAAAATAGGTAGTGTCTCGAAAAACTTCACATGCATTTACCTTCTGACCCAGCAATTCCACCTAAATATTTATACATAAGGTTGTTCACCGCAGCACTGTTCGTAATTTTAAAATATTGGAAACACCCTGATGCCTATATGTAGGAGATTCATTGAGTAACTGGATCATCCCCACAATGGAGTACTACACAGCTGTAAAAAAGAAAAGAAAGGGGAAGTTTTCTATAAACTGGAGTGATTACTAAGACATAGTGTTCATTGACAAAAGCAAAGTGTGAAAAAGTATATATAGTATGCTATCTTTTGTGTAAGAAAGAAGGGGAGATAAAACGTACTTGAATCTTCTAATTTTTGCAAAGGAAACACAGGTGGGATAAACCGAAAACTAATGAAATTAGTTCCCCAAGGAGGTGGATGAGAAGGGGGTGGGAGGGTTAGGAGAGAGAATGACATGTCTATGACGATATCTTTTTGTAGTTTCCTTTTTTTTTTTGTAATTCCAGTATCATTAACATACAGTGTTCTCTTTTTGTATAGTTTTGACTTTTGGAAATGTGTTGATATTTTGTGTAGTTAAAAAATTTTTCAAATCAACAGTATGGGAAAAATCCATAAAAAGGAATGCAAGCAGAGACAAACAAACCTGACTTATTTCAAATAAATCACAGAACCACACTGCATGAATCTTAAACTCTATGTCATAAGTTTGTTTTTGCAAAGTGGTATTCTGAAACTATTCTCTGTGTAGTGTGGGATTGAGCAAATGAATAAATATAATGCTGATTTGGGATCCAGGTTTATCACTAAGAGAAATACAGATATTAGAAAGCTAGAAGCCTCAGAAGGTTGTTGTGGCAGTGGGCTGAATTGGAAATATCAGCGTGGACTCGTGGTTTTTCAGATTTAGGCAGAGAAATCTACATATACATTCCCTTGCTCAGTCCAATTAAGAAGCCCCAGGGGCAATGACACCCCAGATAAGGAGCACACGGCATGATTTTACCTTCTCACTGCTGCACGAGGGTTCCATTTTCTCCACATCCTCTCCAACACTTGTTATTATCTGTCTTTTTAAGCCATAGCCATCCTTGGGCCAGGTGGGGGGTAGTATCTCAGAGTGTTGATTCGCATTTTCCTAATGAAGAATGATATGCTTCTAAGCCCTTTGTATGTCTATTCGGAGAACTGTCAGTCCGATCCCTTGCCTAGTTTTTAATGCATTATTTGCCTTTTTATTACTGAGTTGTAGGAGTTTTGTATGGATGCTAAATACAAGTCCCTTATCAGATAAAAGATTTGCAAAACTTTTCTCCACAGGGGAGTTTGGCGCAGAGTGAAACATGATCTGATTTAATATTTTGACAGGGTCCCGTTGTTTTGATTGGACAGGAAGGCAGTTTGAAAGGGTAGGTTGAAGGTAGGAGGTGGACATTGAGCTTTGGGAACCATGGGGAGCCACGGATGGTGTTTGAGCTGGGGAGTGAAGGCAGTGAGGAAGGCAGAGGTTTGGGGGAGATTAGCCAGGAGTTAGTAAGTGGTCACAGTCCTCATGTGGGAAGCAGGCTGAGACTTCCTGGCCTTGGAAAAAACAGAAAGGAGGCCAGTGAAGGAGGAGAGAAGATGGCATGAGATCACGGGATGGTCCTTGATTTGCCCCAAAATAACTTTCTAAAACTTCCAGGGTACCCTTTCCCTACTCTGCCTACCCTTGGTGAGTTGGACTTGAGGGGGCACTCCAGCTGTCTTCCCATCCCTGGAAAGGAAGGAATCACTCCGTTGGCACAGCTATCTGTCATCACTACCATGTGTTAATCATAACCTGCGAACACTTTCTGTTACCGAATCCTCACAGCTACCCGAGAAGTCCCCACTATTCCTATTCCTATTTTACAGATGCAGAAACTGAGACTCTGGCAGGTAAAATGACTTGCCCAGGTTACGCCACTAGGAAATATCAGAACAGAGATTTAAATTCAGCTCCGGTGCACAGTGGACGCTGCCCACCGTGCCCACCACCAGAGGGCCCCCTCCACTGATTCCCCACCTTTTCTGTTGGATACCATTTCCTGCCTCCCTCCAAACGGTGGTGCAAGGACCCTGGCTAGAGACAGATAGGGCCCTGTGTCCCCACTCCAACCCTCATTCGCTGGTGGGGGGGGGGTGTCCTTGTCTAAAGTGACGTCACCATTCTTTGCCTCGGTTTGGCCATCTCTAAAAAAGACCCAAGAACCGGACCTACCTCATAGGGCTACCAGGGTTAAATAAGAGCTGGAAGTTAGTGGCACTCGTCACTGTTACTCCCCAGCGCTGGTGCTTTCTAAGTACACTGTACTTGTCTAAAGCTGCTCCACTGAGAGTTCTGTGGGGCACTTCCCCCTGGCATTTGGTCCAGGTGCCCACTGTGGACTGACCAACTGGAAGCAAGGGCAATAGCCCTTGCATTGGCCACACAGTGTGCGGTCCTGGTTAGGAGCATGGAGTTGGGGATTCAGACAGACTTGGGTTCAAATCCCAGCTCTGTCATTTGCTGGCTGTGTGATCTTGAGAAAGTGACCTCACCTCTCTGAGCCCAAGTGAAAAGGGGACAATAGTCATTTACACCAACCATATAGGCTTCTCCAGAGGTTTGTGTGTCGTCCTGGGCACTACGGAAGCCTGGAAGTAATGGGACCCTATCCTGTCCTGCCTCCTAATGCCACCCCCTTGTGCTCCCCAGACCTCATGTCTCAGGATCCCGGCCTGTCCCCCACACCCTGGCCCCTATCCAGGTCCTACCCTCATCACAACCAGTTTTGAGGTCCCCACCATCCAAGGCAGTCATCCATGCCAAGAAAACAGGGCTCTCCAGGCAGAGAGGACACCAGTCAGGCTCAGTGATGACCCAGTCAGTGTTAGGCAGGCCCTCTGGTGTGACAGCGTTGTCCCAGGACATGGCTTATGATCCTCCCCGTGGATCATGTGACACCCTATGGCCACTGCCAGTCACCTTGGGCGTGCTGCATGTGACCACGGAGCAATTCCGTGTTCCTGTAGACTGGACCCCAAAGGTGGAGACCCAGCGTCCCAGAGGAGAGGTAACTTCCCCCAGGGACAAACGCAAGTGAGTAGGGTACCTGAGTCTGGCTGATCCAAGATGTACTTCTTATCCAGGCCATATCGGGGGTCCCAAAATGAGCAGTGATCTCATGCACAGAGTCTCACCAAAACGGATTGAGCAAGGCCATTTTGTACTAGCAACCCTGGCAAGAGCCCCACAGAAAAATATTCAAAAGAGGTGAGCCAGCAGTTCATGAAAAGAAAATGCAAGTAGCGAGTAGCCTCTGAAAATTTGCCGGCCTTGCCCTCAGGGAAAAAATACAAATTAAAGCAATGATGAGAAGGTAATTTTTTTTTTCCCATTGGGTTGGCAAGAGTTAACAAAATTGTCAAAAATCCGTGCTGGTGAGCATGCAGGGAATGGATATTCCCTGATCTGACATTGCTGATTGGGGTGTGGACTGCTACAGCGTCTTAGGGAAGTATCTGCCGGAGTCTCTTGACATTTAAAATACGCATGCCTGTTGTTCTGCCTTCTGCTTTTGGGATTCTGTCCGAAAGAAATAAAAGCAGCTGCATCAGAGGAAATGTCTACAAGGATTTTATGAAGCATTATTGATAGGGGGCAAAAACCCAGAAGCCTAGCAAGTGCCCC